GTTACGAAATAAAGTGTTGCCCAGAGTTTCCTCTGTCTCTGGACACTGGTCACCCAGCAAGAATACTGAATAGGTGGACTTAGGTGACATTGAAATTAAATGAAATAAAGCTATAATCCCCCCCTTCTCCTCCCCCCTCCAAAAAGAAAAAAAGGCTGGAGAACAGCATGTAACAAATCAAATACATTTCCTACTTTTTCTACACCCTGAAATATCATCACAGCACTGGGCACATTACTTCAAATTCTCTCATGTCTTTCACCCATATGTTCAAGCACATGTAGAATAGGATCTTGCAAGCAGCTTTTTTTATTTTTTTTTCACAGAACTTTTATTAAGAAAGAATATAAATAGCATAATAAAAATGACATCGCTTTGGGGGGAAAACAAAAGAAGATTGCAGAGTGAAAAATAGCAGCACGGTATCAGTATGAACATGAAGCACGAAGAACAAGCCTGCTTCAGTGTTGCTCCTCCTGCCGTAGACAAATGTTCTCCATTTCACACAGAAAGAAAATGGACCCATGTGCCTGTGGGTGGGTGCAAGGAGAAGCTGTCCTTTTTTGGTTTTGCCAAAAATGTTTTGTTTTCTTCATCTTTAAAAAAGATTTACATTCGTCTAAGATGAAGAACCTTCTGATGTATTTGCATTTGTAGATCCATGTCCCTTTTTTCGGAAACAGGTGCAGAGAAGCCATTAATCCTACACGATCTTTGGACCACCGATTTGCCTTAGAAACATTTACATACCAGCTTGTTGACTCCAAACAGAAACACAGATGAGTCTGCCTTTTAATCTTTTTGTCTGTATCTGTCAGAACACATCGAGGCTTCATCTGGACCTTCTGCTCTTTTCCAAGCTCAGTCTATAGCTCTTGCCTACCAGGAACCTGCTAGAAGAGAATTTCTGTGGGAGGAATTGTTGAAAGTTGACCTCATGCTCACAGCACTGTCCTTCACACAGCTGAATTTTGCTCTTGGGCTTTACAAAACCAGAGTACAGATTCCTGAGGCTTCCTCAGGAAACGCCTTCTAAAGGTGTAAGGAACACCATGGAGCATGGAACAAGGGAGGAAGAATTCAGCAGCGCTAGCCCTGGAAGCTGGCCATCCTTCTGCTGTCATGTACATGGTGTTACATGGAAATAATGGAGAGAAAAACACTTTGGCAGATGGTAGAGCAGGTGTGCATGCCCTTGAATTGCCACTGAAGGAGATGAGGGAAACTACCCTAAAGCTAGTCTTTGTGGATGCCCTCCTTCATCTGCAAAGTTTCGGCTTCAATTGGAATATAAACACTGTTTAGCATGGGCAGAAACATGGTATGAAAATTACTTTGGGCCACAGGCAAATTAAGGTATAAGGGACTAACACCAGTCATACTTATTCCCTCTCTTACACGTAATCCTCAAACACTTGAAATTCTGCAAAACACGGATAAAAGAAAAGAATTTTCTTTCACATCAACTTTAAAATGATGCATTAGTTATAATTTCTCCACTGTTTATACTCAACCGATTTATTTTAGGCTCTTGTAGATGAAGGTGGTATTTAAATTCACATTTCCTACTCTGATGTATGTTTAAAAAAAATAAAGTTTCCTTAATGCCTTCATTCTGTATCTACTGCTTTGGTAAGTTCTTTTAACCAAGAACTGAGGAATACAGTTAAAGTAAGGCATTAACTTCAAGTATTGTCAGGCACTGGACTACTACAAAGAAAAATCCAGAGGAAAACTGCCAGGAAAATCTATATGCAGGTTTATTTCTGTGATAATCTGAAATCCAAAGTCTGTTTTGTTTTGTTTTGTCTTTTAGGAAAGGATGTGAAGTCCCCGCCAGCAGTTCACCATCATTCTGTAAGAGTGCTTAGGCAAATGATTAAGCAAATTCTCCAATTTCTCTGTTTCATCTCAGTTCGTTCACGTGAACTCAGAATCAAAACTGAATAAATGGGGATGGGTTTAAGCATATATGTGGAAGCTGTGGTGCACAGAAATGCTAAGTTACCTTATAGATCCCTCACTGTGTGTGTTTCTGTCAGATTCCTTTGGTTTCCACCAGTCTGAAAGAATAAATGAAGCCTTCAGGCTTTTAGGATAGGAATCAGTACGTGCTGAAGTGGGGAGAGTTTGACAAAACAGCACATAGGAAGAAGAAGAATCGAAACAGAACGATTGAAAAATGATTCAGAAACATGAAACCCAACAATTTGCCCTATCTAGAAATTTAGCACATAGGATGAGCAGCCATGCTGGAGATCTGAAAGTGCAAGAGAGGATTAGTGCTGGAGCCAGATGTCTGGAGGAAAACATCTCCAGCAGCTTTTGAGGACTCTAGTGTCAAGTCATGCAGCCTGTGACAAAAATACTGCTCTCTGCAGATGTCATCTACACCCTGCAGATGTCAGGTCAGCACCTCAGGAAGGTTTCTTTTATCTTTGTTCTCATAAAAGATTCTTTTCGAACAGCAATGATTTTGCTTCTGAAATTCTCCAAATGTGTTTTCCTGCTGACAAATGCGTTTCTGTGCTGTATGTATGAATCTGCACCCTTCGTGGAGCCTTAGGAAAGGCAGCATAGCGTGCCTCTCGCAGGGAGAGGAGGAAACATGGGAAAGAAGCCTGATCCTAAGGTGCAGTGCAGCAGAAAGATGGCTCCTGAGCTTCACCCGGATGAGCGGAAGGGATGCTTTAGCTTGCATCTGCTGGCCCAGCTCCCACTTGATTATCAGACAGGAGGGTAAAAATCCCCAGGCAAACATCCTCGGGAGATGGATGCTGTGATTTGAGGCAGTAGCACCAGCAGGAGAAAGGTTGGTGTGGGACTAAGTGTGCTGCTGTCCTATTGAGGACCAGTGAATCTCCGTGCACCAACAGCTCCTGTGTGTAAGCTTCTAATTCAGCTTGATTAAGTGTTTCCAACAAACTAACTGGAAAATTCCCCAAACAATGTTGTTGTCTTCTCCCGCTGGTTTTGAAGAAAGTGATGATTTGCTTTATTTCTTTTAAATGGGAGCAATAATAATAATCAAAATACATCGTGATTCTTTTTTCCCCAATGGGAAAACCGTGATGTGACATTCTTAGCAGAAGAACAGAGCTGGGTTTCTGCAATGCATCTCAGTGGAAATACACACCCTTTGGTGTAACAAAATTACTGTGAAGTGACAGGGGAATAATTTCAGGAGCCTCTTGTCATATTAGCAACACACTCCATGAAGAGCCACCAGAAAAGGGACGTCTCATAAAATACGAAAGGGCAAGGCCCTGAAAGAAAGCGCTGTCATATAATTCATTTTACACATTCTCTCTCTGTTTTCAAGTACAGAAACTTCCTTTTTAATTAAATTATCTGTCAATAAAGAAATACATTGAATTATAACGCACAAGAACACATTGCTACTTGAATATTCTACACTGTTTTTAAGACTGCACAAGGCACAGCTCTGGACTTTTAAATGCTGGCAAACCAAATGATCTTCCTTTCTTAGACAGTTATCCATACCTAATTTAGAGCGTATTAAATTCACCATCACATCCTGAGATCCTCTTGAGATCTGAAAGATATCAGATTTGGTTCCCACTGATGCTACATTTACACTTGTTTTAAAGACACTCTTCTGTGTCAGAAGGGTATAAAGCGATATTGCTAAATGAAGACTATATTGTACTTTAAAAAGCTGATTATTTGAAAAGGCATTGATTATATAGCAAAGTGCACTACATGACGTAGAGCCTCAGCTGGCTGATATTGGTATCGTTTCATTTACAGCAGCCAAGTGATGCAGGCTTCCCTCAGCTGGGGATCTAGTCACGTACATTTTGTGTAATTAGAGGATATATATGTTAAGCAGTAACACAGAGCTCTATTGTATACATTTGGCAAATATTCCCACACTTCAGTCAACTGTGGAAGCAAAATGTTCCAATTGCAACCAAACTACATCCTCTTTTTAAGTTTTTGCAGATCTTAGTTAAGTCATCCATCACCTTGGAGATAATCCAGGTTTATATCATCGCGTCTGAACACAGAATATAATGAGGCTATACATCATTTGTACAGATCAGCACTAATTATTAGGAAACGATTCAGGTAGCTGCAGCTATTTATTGTTTTTTTAATCCCAAACCTGTAACATCATCTGCAAGGATGGAATCACACCTTGTACAGAAAACAAACATGACCACCTCCCTTCAGATTCTTGACATTCATACATAGGACATAAGGAGAATTTACATGGTTCATAGGCTTGGGACTGACAGCAGATTTCATCCCAGTCTTCCAGTGATGGCAGATGAAAATGGGTTTGGGTTTTTTAAAATTAAAAAAGCCTGCGTTACTAAAATCAGCTGTAATAATTTGGGATTAAAGGCCCATTTGTGCTTTCATTTGCTGTGGTGACAATCCGAGTTATCCCATTGTGTTCTGTGGAATTACTCCAGGTTTTTGTTCTCGTAAATGAGAACAGAATTTCTCTCCTAATCCTGCCTTTGAACCAAAGTGATTACAGTCTGAATTGCCTCTCTGAATGAGCCAAAGGCATGTCCCCATTTAACGTGACCTATGGGTTTCTCAGAATCGTTTTGTGCATGCCTCCACTACGCTCACGGGAGTTTTAAATTCATCAAAAGACAGATTAAAAACAACAAAAACAAACAAGGGGACAACTCTTCCAATCAGAACGTCCTAATTTTATGTTGGGACGGGTGTCCTCTGTAGTGACAGCCTCCCTGCAGTTCATACGCGCTTCATACCGCAATGGTCTTAAATGGACAATCCTGAGAACTAATTATTTGGGGAAAGAAATAATAATAATAATAAAAACTTAAAAAAATAAAGATCAGTAAATGTATCTTTGTGCTCAAGTACGTAACTGTACAAAGAAACAGAACAAGAGAAGGTTGCTGAAAACCATAGGTAGGAGCAAGTCCAGCCGCTTTTTAATAATAGGATTCAGATGTAACTGCTGTGAACATTAAAGCAGAGTAAGGGGCAAAAAATGCACAGCATAACATTTCAAAGTGACAACAGTCAAAGTTCCTTGGAAAAAGAAGAAAAGCATTACCCATTTTGTACTTGTTACATAATTGTGCTCGTCCTTGGGCACATTTCACCTGCGGGCGAACTTCCAGAGGTTTGGTGTAGAATTATTATTACTTCTTTATATTTTGTCATCATCATCACTGTTTATTTTTTTAAATGCGACTGGGCTCGCCTGCTTTAGAGAGGTTTTTGAGACATCTGTGTGCATGGTGGACATGGCTATAGTCTCGTAATCTTCCTCACGGGAGCGGAAGTGGCAGAAGTGAAATAAAAACTGCAGGTCCCTCTGGAAGTTCTTGTTGAGAAACCCATAGAAAATAGGGTTCACGCAGGTGGAGATCATGGCAGTGAGGTGGCAGATCAGGAACAGCAGGTTGTGGCTGCAGGTAGCAACGGGCAGAATTTCATGGTTCCAATCAAACACGATATTGAAAATGGTGAGAGGAAGCCAGCAAACTGCAAAGGCAACCACGATCGAGATCAGCATGATGTTGATCCTTTTGGTTTCAGAGGATCTGTACTTACTGTCTCTCATCTTGTCCATCATGTGGCTCCTTTTCTTCAAGCGAAAGTAAATCTGTGGGAAATTCAGCAAAGAGAAACAGGTGGGATAATTTAACCTACAACCACAGCTATCGCTAAGGTAAGCAAACATCAGACAAAAAGAAAGTATATATATATATATATATCACAGAGGGAGCTCTCTCTTACCTTTAAGTAGCAAATAAATATAAAACAAAGCGGTCCAAAGTACTGAATCACCAGAAGAGTGGTGGTATAAGAAAGCCGGGCAGTGTCCAAGGGGAAGAGGTCTAGGCACACGTATTTGTCCTTATATTCATCAAATGTTATGTTTCTGAAGGGCTCGTCTGTCAGCACGTGGTAAATCAGGAAAGGCAAGGAGGAAGCCGTGGCCAAAACCCATATGGCAGCGATCCCCATGTAGGCATGCCTGTTGCTTGGCCTCCAGCCGCGGGGGTTGATGATCAGCTGATGGCGTTCGATAGCAATCAGAACTAAAGAAAAGACCGAGACGGTGATTGAGGCACATTGCACGAAAGGGTTCAATTTGCACATGGCCTCCCCAAAGATCCAGTGGTCCATTAAAGTGTACACAAAGGTAAAGGGAAGACACATGATGGTCACTAGAAGGTCCGAAAAGGACAGGTTGACGATGAGGATGTTAGTAACATTGCGCATTTCCTTTTGTTTCAAAATGATGACAATCAGGGCCAGATTCCCAGAGACTCCCAGGATTATCACGGTCCCATAAGCCAGGGCCAAGGTGAAGACCATGGCCAAAGGCACGTGGCAGTCCTCGTCTTCAAACTGCAAGAGTTGCGAGTTCTTCTCCGAAAAGTTCAGGTGTCTGGAGTTATTTTCCAGAGGATCAAGAAACGAAGCATTCATGTTTGTTTGGTTGCTTTTTTTTTCCAGCTCGCTGATCAATATTCTCAGCAGCCACAGGTCTCATCCAAACCGCTCCTGACCTTCAATCTATGTCAGTCAGCCCACGAGGAGCTCCTCAGCAGAGCCCACTTCTCGATGCTGCATCTCCATGGCAAGACCTGGGGGAAGGAGGAGGACCGGTCACCTCTTGCATGTAGGCTACCCCAGCACCCCAAAACCCTGCTGTGACTGTCACCCACCCTCAGCACACCAGTCCCCCAGCACCACTGGACTTTAGAGCCAGGGATCAGGACCAGACCAGAGGGGAAGGGAAGACTGGCGGTCATGGCCTGGTATCCAAAGAGAGAGCAGGGGCTGCAGGACAGGGAAAGGAAGGAACCAGAGTCTAAATGTGGGTCTGCAGGCACAGCCCTTCCCAGCACTGCCTCATAAGCACAAGGGACAGAAAACAACAGAGTGTGAATCAACTTCAGTCTTACACCAGGATAGCCTTTGTTTGATGATGTTTCACATCTCGTTCCTACAAGTTTAATCTGGGAAGATTTGCTTTCTCAGCCTGCTCTAAGTGCAATTATACTCCACCTGAGGGGTAGAAAATCTACACCAAAACATTGCTGTGCTCTTTTTTACCTAATGCACACAGGATGCTGAGTGTCTGAGTTGTCAGAAAGTGTTTTCCTTTGGTCTGTAACACAAGTGCTCACAGCAGCAATGGCAGTGAGTCAAAGGCAACTCAGGACCTCTGAACACCTTGATCTTAACCAGCAGGACACAAAACAAAATGAGAAACAAACCAACAAACAAAATCAGCAAAAATTAAACACCGTAGAGCAGGCACCCCTGTAAAACAAATAGTGATGTCTAAATAACCACCCCTATGCAAGGCCTCTGATATTAAAATCAGAGAAACTCAGGCCTATGTGTCAAGGAAGAAAAAAGAAAACAAAGAAAAATGAAAAAAAAATCAAATAACCTGATACAATCCCAGTTCAACTTACTATTAGCAGCAGCCACCTTCAATCTGGAAGTTTCCCTCTACACCCTCTCTTATGTGCTAAATTTATTGCTCACTTAACCTCAGGTTATGCTAATGAAAGTGATGCCACTTAAAATTCACATAAGTGGGCTCTAAACCTGGCTCCATATGGCAGTAATCACTAAAGCTGTGAAAACAGAGCTCACTGAAACGAGCTTCAGAGGAAGTGAGAATTCACGAGCTTTGCTCTGAAATACTGGATATAAATCTAGGTGCCGCCTAAGCTGACTCTCGTGTTGCTGGTGGCAGAGATCCCTTCCACTGGTCCCTACTGGACTTGTGCCTCCAGCTCCTCCCGAGAGTCAGTGAAAAGAGAACCATGCTGACATGTTTGTCTCAAGTGTCACAAGATCACCTCAGACAGCTTTGCTGATCCTCTGTGGCTACATGGAACCACGACAGGCAACACAGCCTGCCTCTGGGTGACATCTTACTGACAGTTAACAGCAACGGCTTGAGAGAAAACGCATCTCTGCTTGAAGTTTGGCTGTTCTGATTTTCTAGCTAGCTGGGGCAGGCACCTGAGAATTATTTCTGCTGCCTCTGCTAACTAAATTTACCAGGTCTCCCTAGGCCATGTAGACTGTTTCAGGGTCCAACAAATAAAAAGGCTTCCCCAGGGCCTCCTGAAGCACCACTTCAACCAGAGTCAGAGGAAAGTGCTTTATCTGCAGGACAAGCGTGTGAGTGCTGTGGAGTCTGGATTCAATTTCCAGCAGGTTTGATTTTAACTCCAGCCTGAAAATCACACCGTGTGGATTTAATCACATCCCTGTTACTTGTACAGCACAAAATGGGCAGCGCAGCCCTTGGAGCTGATGGCAGGAGCAAAATGGGTGAGGGACCACATCCCGCAAGGAGAGAAGTGGGCAGGTTTTCTCAGCACTGGGACCTCAATGCAGCAAGCAGAGGGTCAGGACATGATTTCAAGCTCTTGCTTTTTCTTACTCATTAAGAAGCCCACAGCTCTGCTTTTGCTCATTTATGAAATATCAAATTCAAAACCAGAAAATGCAACTGCTCCTCGCCTTCCCTTGCCTCTCCCCATAGGAGAGAGCAGCGTAGTACCACGGCTGGGAACCAGTTCAGAAGCACAGCACTGTTTGACAAGCAGCAAGGCGTCCTGCCCACCTTTCCAAAACGATCGGTAGCGATGCAGTTGCCTCTCCTGGCGCACGGTGCTGCTCCCTGCCCCCTACCAGCAGGGACATCCCTTCCCATCCCGGGGTCTGGCGGTGCTGGCGGCTCTGCAGAGCCCTGCTGTGACCCACAGGGTCTCCCCACCTCCCGCACACACCCGTCCGGCTCTCCAGGATTATCTGTCAAAAGTTTAGCATCGACGGATCGAAAGGGTAAAAGAACGCGCTGCGAGCTGTCTGGCAACTCGCTGTAAAAGCTATTGGAGCTTTTCAAAAGGGAGCCCAAAATACTGCCAGCCCCAGCAGCTCTCAAGTCCAGCCTGGCACCTGCTCCTCCCTACCTTATGTCCCCTGCCCCGAGCAGCGCCGGCGCCGGGAAGCGATCGCAGAGAAACTCACCTTCTAACAGCTCCGCCTATCCGCGATCTTCTCGGGGGCTGCAGGGAGGAGAAGGAATAGGGGAAGGGAAAAGATCCTCCGGTGTTCCTCCAGCTGAGATGCTAAAGATTGGTGGGGAAGGCTGGAGACTCCCCCTTAAAGCCGAACTCCACCTTATCCCAGCATCACATGATGGGGCTCTGCTGAGCAGATCCCGAAAATCTCACTGCAAGCACATCACCTTTCAATTACACATCTGGGGGTGGGTTGCCTAGTAATCCTGAAATGCATGCAATTAAATACTGAAACAAAAGAGGAGGGGAAGAGAGAAGAGCTCCGGGAGAGTTTTGCATCGCTCTCAGGCAGCTCCGGCGCTTTGTTTGGAAGTTGTTGCCACCGTGTGGCCAGTCAAGCCGGAAGAAAAGCTCTGATGGAAAGAGAAGTGGAGCAGCAGTTAGGAAGTTCGGCATTGGATCTTTGAACCAGCATAACCTCTAGCTGCCGGCAAGCTGATTTTTTCATGCAGCCGATAGGAGTTGCCCTGCAGACTACTAGCGGCTACAGCAGGTTAGTGCGCTGCTTACTAAACAGCTTCCATGAAAAAAAAAAGGAAAGAAAACCAAACATTTTATTTTCCATTATTTTTATGGTTCTGAAACATCTCGCTCTCTCGTGCACAGAAAGCACTGCTGCTGCTAGACCTACTTTAATAGCCCCCCAAAAATATATATTAAAAAAAAAAACAAACGGTGGGTTTAGAAGCCAGTACAGAGGTCCAAGAAAAGTTACCTGGATCAATTCAGGTATGAATGCCCCCTCAAACAGGCTGCACTGTGATCTCGGAATTTGTGGAAAGCAAAAGTGCCCTGATTCCTTCAAGGCTCCAGATTAATTTTTCAAGAGAAAGGACTTGTTGAAGTTGCAATATCCCATTTACAGGACAACTCTGTTATGGTGAGGATAGGTCTCAGGAGAGTAACTGTATTATTACCAAAAGGAAAAAAACAGCTGCACGTAATAAATGGTTGTAATATGTTTTGCAGACTAAGTCTTGTGGGAATGCTACAGAATTTGTGTGTATCTTGTATTTCCAGAAGCTCAGCTCAGCTGCATCAAACCTGCAGCTCTCCTGTGAGGAAGGAAAGTGTGGCCAAACCTCCAGGTTGCTCCAAACCTGGGCTCTGTTGACACTGACCCCCAGCAACCAAGAGGTAAGTGCAGGCTGTATGTTAAGCCTCTTGAGGATTGCAGACACATGTTGGTTAATTCCTGTGCACCATGTCTGTCTGAGCACAGCGATGTTGGATACAGGCAGACAACGCAAAGATATAAGCTGGTGCTGAGCATCCCATAGTGTATTTCTGCCTGAGTCAGTAGCATTTTCTCCATTACATGGAGAGCTGAAGACACTCATTGGTATGGATGTGGACCTTACAATGTAACATGGGCATCAACTGTGAGAGATTGAAGATGGATCCTGGGTGTCACTCAGTGACCTGAGCTCACAGTGAGGGGATCGGGCGTTCACGGAGTTGTTTGCAGTGCAGATGGATGCTTCAAGCAGAGCAGTGGAACAATGGAAAGGGCTGTGTGAGTCACTGAATCTTTCAGACATATATGCTATATATATATGTGCCACAACAAGGTTTTACTGCGAAGCTCCTGCTCTGCCATACTTGCCCTCTGCTCTGTGCTCACCTCAGATGACTGAATCTGTTGGAGCTACACCAACCTTCACCAAAGCATTTCCTATAAAAGTGAGAAAACACACTTATAAACAATCACTCTAACAAACAGATGTGTTCTTTTTCAAAGGTTTTCCATTACAGCTATACAAAATGCACTCTGTGCAGTAAGTGCCACGTAGCACCAGGGAAGTTGTGAAGGAAGCTCAGATTTTAGCACTTTAGGTTGGATGTCAGGGGGAAGTTCTTTACAGAGAGTGGCGAGGTGCTGGAACAGCTGCCCAGAGAGGCTGTGGATGCCCCGTCCATCCCTGGAGGTGTTCAAGGCCGGGTTGGATGGGGCCCTGGGCAGCCTGGGCTGCTATGAAATGGGGAGGTTGGTGGTCCTGCATGTGGCAGGGGGTTGGAGATTCATCACCCTTGAGGTCCCTTCTGGCCATTCTGTGATTCTGAGTTCTTGGCTCAACTTGGTGCATGCCCAGTCCCAGCACCAAGTTGAGCATTTCCAACTGGAGCACCAAGCACACAAAAACACCAAGTAATTCCTCAGCAAGCCTTGTTGTGTTGCTAGTCGTTGCCAGGACGAAAGAATAGCAAAATAGCCATGGTGTAAGAGATTATCCTCCTCCCTGGAGTGTGTTATTTCAGTGCATCACAGACAATGCAGGCTGGAAGACTGTGTTTGAATGAAGACAGGACCGTTGTGAAAAGAGAATAAATACAATAGAAAGAATGCAAGAATCTTAACTGAGCAAATAGAACAGCATGAGTAAAAGAATAGAGCATTTCTTTGAAGCAATACATTGAGAGGGAAACAAGAGGTGTTGAAGAAACACCTGGGAAAATATGCCAGGAAATCAACTCATTAAGATACTCTTCCTGCAGCTCCCAAAAAATGTAAAAGAAAATAGATCATAAAATGAGGATGACACTTTCACTACAGTGTATTGTCATGTGCTCAGCCAGCACCATCTCTCCCTAAAACTTAAAATCCACAGAGTGAAAGAACGCCTTGAGATTTGCTTGAGGTTCCTGCTGCGCATAAAACAAACTGAAGTCACCACTATTTTGGATGGAAACAAAGGAGTTTTGTTTCTTTGATTTTACTTCTACTTTTATTGTTTATTTTTATTGTTCTCATTTTCTTTTAATGAACTGTGGCATCATTGAAAGGCTTTCATTTCACATTAGGGAACTCATTCTCCTTGGGGGCAACAGTCTGTCATCAGTAGAATAAATAGATGTTTTGCCATTGAGTGCAAATTCTCCGTTTGGCTAAGAGCATGTTTATTCTGCAATGACTGCAACTGACACCAAACATAACAACACTTCATTTGACTGCTAATGTCACTAACACAAAGAAGCTGCATGAATAATTATGTGGTTAATCTGGTCTGAGTGTCTTGCTGCTCCAGTTCTGCTTTGGGGGATGAAGTCAAGCTAACCAGTGTGAAGCTGCCCCAATTATATGCAACGTTGCTTAAAGACCGATTGAGATGTAACTTAAATTATGGCTACCTGGCTAAAATACTAAGTCATGTTTTCTGCTGTAGCCCCTTGAAGTCATGTATGAGCGTCCAGCTGGCTTCAAACAGAGCAGAAATAGGCTCTGTGCTTCAGCATGCTCAACAGACAGTGGTATAGCACCAGCCAGCCAAAGTGATGAGACCCGTTAGGTAACAAAATCGTTCACCCTCAGAAGTGTTCTATCACCTACCCAACAGATGTCTGTATCCTTGCAGACACCTCAACTGGTACAACATTTTCATTAGTCCACGCCTCACTGCCTTCACGCCCAACTGCTTTACACGAGATAAGAACCCGTGGAAGGGACTGGCCAAAAATCCATAGAATAAAAACGTAACTGGTATTTTTTAAAAGTATTTGCCACATGAGTAGGGTGAATATTGAAAAGGGGGGGATGTGGATATAAGGGAGAAGATTTTTTTACAATCAGGGTGGTAAGGCAGTGTCACAGGTTGCCCAGAGAGGTGGTTGGTACCCTGTCTTTCCAAGGTCAGGCTGGATAGGGCCCTGAGCACCTGATGGAGCTGCAGGTGTCCCTGTTGATTGCAGGGGAGTTGGAGTAGAGGACCTGCAAGGGTCCCTTTTGACTCTGTGGTTCTATGAATAGCTGGGTGGATGCATGGGGAAAGTTCCACCCAATAAGAATGCTTTATAGGTACCTCACAAAATGCCTCAAACTCTGTAGTAGTTACGTCCTACCATTTTAGGCTCTCTTGCTGATGGATGGGTGCTCTGCTGGCACCAGACATTAACACATTATTATCACATTAACATTGGACTCTGGCTCACAGCCAGTTTTGATTCAGGGCAGCCAATTGCACACTGCAGAATTTCAAAGTTAGGTGGCTTTGGACTTGATTTTTCGATGGCATTCATCGGTTCTCATTGACTTCAGTCGGAGCTTTGCGTCTTCATGTCTTTAACAGCTAACATTCAGAAGCTAAATTTTCAAAGATATTAGGATGACTCTCAAAAGTACATTTCCCTCAGGATTATGAGAGAAGAAGCACGCCAACATCAATCTGTATTCCATATAATGGCAGACTTCTGTCCTGTATTTGCTGTTGTACCCTTCTGACTCACAAATCTCCCACTGACACGCTGGTTTCTTTGCCAGCTCCTCCATCATCATCATCATCTCTGACTTTGTCAAGGACTCCTCCATGGTTTCAACAACCCTACAGAGGCTAATTTCTAGGGAACCTGTACCATCATCTGTTACCAGTCTGACACATCTCTAATGTCAGCACCTTTCCTACCTCTACATCACCTATTTTATTATTCAGTACTATTACTGGCAATTCTGAGGTTCACAACCACTAAAAAGGAGAAAAAAAAATGCTAATGGCTTGAATAATAATTGCCTCTGACATGCACAAGTGTCACCAATTAACTGTCCAAATACAGCTGAGAGAAATCTGGTGTTGTTTACAGGCCTGAGGTTTAAAAAAAAAAAGGAGGAAAAAAAAAGGAAAAGAAAAAGCCCACATCTTCAGTGCATCGCTGGTTGATGAACTCTTCTGAAATAACCCAACAAAAGGAACAAGATATTTTGGTCTTAGGAGTAGCCACTTGTCTAACTGACTGCTTTTACCAGGAAGCATGTAATTTCTGGTGATTGCTTGGGAAACCATAGGAAGTGACCGCCTACCTTAGAAGTGGTCAGCACAGAGGAAAGGTTTTTTTAACCTCACAAAGTAACAATGGTATCCTGTGTAAATCGCAATTATGGGATGCAAATTCTCATCTGTGGGCTTTGCCAGCAAATGCAGGTTGGTTTCTTGGTCTTTGAAAGGCAGCGCCAGTTTGCTACAGCCAAAAGTTTCCATGGAAAGGTTCAGTGCCTCAAAAGCTTCTCTCTTTCCAGGAAGGAGCTTCCATGTCAAGCAGGGTCAGCAGTCTGGAGAACTGCCCTGGAACGGGGAGCACCCTGTTAAACAGATGCTCTGGAAGATGGTCTTAAACAGCAGGTCAGAACAAGGTTGGGTTTCTGTCTCTAGCGTGAAAACTTTCCAAGCATCAGTGTTAAGTAAGAAGACGGTCAAAAATGTTAGGAACTGCCGCCCGGCCCTAAAAATGATTAATTTAGTTCTCCTTTATGACTAACAGGAGAGCTGTCTTAAAATGATGAGCTGGATTGGCACGTCACTTCCACTTGGCAGCTCCCCGCGCTCCACTTGCACATGCAGTGATTCACCAGCAGTGGGTGGTGAATAAGGCAGGAGCGGATGAAAAGAATACGGGACGCGATCTTCCTTGCCATACGGGGCCTGTCCCATGAAGAGTGAAGCTGATTGTTCCCTTAGCCCTCACCTTAAAACGCGTGCTTTAAAAACCCAATTAAATAAGGAATCTAGTTGGACTTCCAGGGTGGTGAAGCTATTTTATGAGTCGGTTGATCCAGCTGGCACGCCTTTGTGTAGAGCACTTTTTCACCGGCTAATTATACTGACAGCTTCTCTGCAATACTCTGCTAATATCAACTGTCTAAGGAGTGCCTCTGCAAATGGAAAAGTCATTACATTCCCGTGTCACATTCTGCCACCTGTGCTCCCAAAGACCCACACGTCACTCTGTTCTCCAGTAGCCCTGTAATTGGGCTGTGATCAATGCGAAGATAGCAGCTGGTGCAAGCGACGGAATTGCTCTTCATCTGTTGGGCTGTGACATACCCAACCATTTTTAGACTGTAAAATATCGTTCACTCAAAAGAAAAAGAAAAAAAAAGAGGGAAAGCATCCTGCCTTCCCACTGATGGCCCAGAACAAATTAAAACCACCCTTTAGATATTTGTGTCTGGGCAAACTGAGTTACTCACCTCCGAGTGGAAAGCTGATGGGGGAATCCATCACCTCCCACCCGTTCTAAAATAACGGTGGATAAATGCCACCAAAGCTGAGCTCCAGCCAAGGGGAGGGGAGCAGCAAGGTGTTCAGGGCAGCCCCCAGAGATGGCCCAGCTTCGGGCAGGCCCACAACAAGACAGCGTTGGGGTGGGGGGCAAGGAGGAAGGAAAAAAAAGAAAAAAAAGTGCACGCATCCCTTCGATACTATCGAGCCTTGGGTTTGTTTACAGTCTCACTGTATTTCCATGGAAACTCTAATTGTCATAGCATGCAATAGGGCAATAACAGGCTCCGGCCCCGCACGGAACGCTCTCCCGAAATGCACCCGCGCCGCAGCCGCAGCCTCAACGTCGGCACAGCGGCCCGAGCCGTCGCTCCCGCAGTCCCCGCCGTCCCCCCTTAAGATGCGCGGGCGCGCAGAGCGGCTCGGACGGAGCGTGGTGAGGAGTTCAGCCCCGGGGCTATGAGCTTCGCAGGAGCCCGAGGCGCGGGGCGGCTTCCCCGCGGCTGCAGGTGAGCGCGGCATTGGCGCGGGGCGCGGAACGGCCGCGGAGTTTTGCGCGGGGAATTTCGCCCCTTGTCCCGTCCCAGGATGCGGGTTGCCAGGAAAGGCATCGTTGCCAGGCGGGCTGGAGAGGGATGTGGGAATGGTAAAGCAGAGCCCGTCCCGCCCGCTGCTCGTCCGTTCTGCGGCAGTGCGTTGCAAGTTTTCTGATCTGCCCGTGCTTCCTTGGAGCTGCGGAAATAATCTCGTTAGATGGGGTTGGTTTGTTTTGGGAAGCCATGTTCTCTTTTTCCAGACCAGCGCTGCAATCTTTGCTTAAGTTGGGCGTATAAAGAGGCATAGCATGGCACCACAACCCGTTTTTTGGACTGGTGAGGTGATGTCAGTCTTCAGAACTCTGCTGGCTCCCAGACCAGCTTGTGCTGAGCAGCTGCAGTCACTCTTCAGCCTTTGTTGTGAACATGAGTTCACCGGTTTCGATTTGGGGTTTTCAATTCAGTCTGTGCTGAGATGAGGGCATCATCTCTCAGGTCAGTGCTTCCCTTAAGCTCCGGTGGCCAGGTGGGCACAGCCTGTCTCGTTCAACCTTGTGTAAGTCAAGAATAAGATTGACTTTGTTTTCCTACACATTCCTTTATGACAGGGGCCGTGTATCACAGGGACGTTTTGTATTTTGCTTTCTCCTTGCACATTTTTGTTTTCAAGGTTGAGGAAGGACTTCCAAGCTTATACATTGTTTCTCAGCAGTGGAGATGAATGGTCCTGTGCAGGCACTCTGACACGGTACAGTCTGTTCAGTCTGTACTGACACCAGCCAGTACAATACGATGGGTCGTAATATTGTGGGATACGAGATGTTGTCTGTAAACAAGTCTTGATATAAACAACACACAGTGTTGAAGGAAGATCTTCTGAAAGGCCAATTTGCCTTCAGGGGGGTAAGATTGCCTGCCTAACTTTCATGTTCTTGAAAATCTCCCCTTAAGCATGTAAAATAAAACCAGGGATAGCTTGTGTATTCATTCTGCTGAATGGTGGCTTATGGGGTTTGTATTTTAAACAGCAGCTTTAAGTGGAATAAGGAGACGAATTGGAAGATTTAAAATATCAAACTAGTACATTTTAGGTTATCTGGTATCTTAATTCAGCTAAAACTGATAAATGTTGTAAGTTCTGCCTGTCACTTGCACACCTCAGATCAACTGCAGTTGGGTACCTACAGACTGATTAAATTTGACCTGGAGTACCAGAACACTTGGGCACTGTCATGCCTTCAGTGTAGAAATACACTTCAAAAACGAGGACAATGTTATCAAAAGAGGCTAAATCATTTAATTCTATTCCCCACAACGGGCTTTTCAGGAATCCTCATGACACTGAGCAGCTACGTGAAACATGCCGCATCGCGGTTAGCCAACTGCTGGGAGGAGGGTGGATGAATCCCTAAAAAATAAAAAAATAAAAAGCAGAAACATAAATGCCAGTAAACATCTAGATCCCTGTGAAGTCACTGTTGTGCTAGTGTTAGACTGGGGACTGTAAATCAAACACATGAGAGGCATGTGTGCTGCCAGTAGCCCCTTCCTTGTGGACAGCAGGACGCGTGGTGCCTACAGAGCGCTCAGCCCATGCACAAGGCAGCACAGTGCAGGCAGGATGTGGCTGGCAATCCCTGCCTGGACTTTATAGGCACCCCTGTGAAGCTTTTTCAGTGCCAATCAAGAGTAACAGAATCGCAGTGGGTAGGAGAGACCTCTGGAGATCATCTAGTCCAACCCTGTGCTGAAGCAGGTCCCTTGAAGCAAAATATTTTGTCTTCAACAAAAAAAAAGCATACTTCCAGTTTTGTCAAGAATTACCTTAGAAACATGATTAGCAGCTGAGCTGAAACCATACTGCAGGATATTGAAGTGAAGGCAGAAATGCACAGAATCCGCCAACAGTCTTTTAATCAAATTTTTAAGAAGTAAATTTTCATTTAATAAACATGTTCCAGCCTAACAACACAGACAAAGTTTTGCTCCTTGACCCTAGCCTTAGCATTATGCCCATTGAATATAGGAGATTAAATAACTTTCCACACGCTGACAAAACCTGTCAATGACAGTTTCACCAAAAATTCTAGAAAGGGAATTGCACTCTTGGCACGTGCATCAACAAAACTTTCACACATATGTAACTGTCCTTGGAGGCCTATTGTTTTAAATTAACTTACTATTTTAACTAAATGTCAGTGTGCACTGTCTCTATTCAGTATGACTTCTGGACAGGTATGACTCCATGAGAGTTTAATCGTTACTGAAAACACCTGTAGATACTATAAAAGCAGTCAATCTCCAGGTTTTATAGAGAGAAGAAACATGTGCAGCTCCTTTCTGCTTTTTTCTGCCTAATACCAGTTAAAATAGAAGAAAATACAGAATGGACTTTCTTGGCTAAGAGTTACATACGTGAGCAAGCAAAATAAATGGAAAGCTTCTTCCTTCAAAGTCTTCATCAACTCAATAGCGTTTTAAAAATGTGTGTTTTTTTTAAATATCAATTTGCTGCTGGATTTCTTCCCTCTTTCCTGTTAGTCTTCCTATTCTCAGGAAATGACTGTGTGGTTAGTAAGCAAGATTTGGACAGGTCTAGCTCTTGACTAAAGGTTCATTTCCCTTTCTCAGATAACTCCTGCTTCGTTTCGTATCTGCAAGCAGTCAAAGACATGTTCAGCTCATGATGTTCTCTTCATTTGTGCAAGATATAAACTGGAAAAGGAAGGCAAAAGGAAGGCAAGCAAAAAGAAAATTATCTAGAATTACACCAATGGCTTTTTCATTATTAACTCCTCAGCTGGAAGGGTTTTTCCTACACGCTTCTCAGCCAACGTGAATGCTTTTGTACAAAGATAATGGGTTGTTCACCCTGAAAATGTTAGTCAGGTAGTATTTCATATGGAAATGCAATGTACTGTTGAAATGGCTTTCACGAATCCATAAGGAGTCTGCAGGTTACAGCTGCATGTACACTCCTAAATCAGCAAAAACATCAGACATCATCCAAAGCCATGCATCTTCCATGCTGAATACAAGAAAGATATGTGACACGAGATACGTAATTCTGTAGGGCTGAGGCAGGGCTATGTATTTTATCAAAGGTACAGACATGCTTGAGTTTACTGCTTAAGTTTGCTCACATTTAGAGAGTTGAAAGAAATTTCAGGTGGTTGTGCAAGTCCCTGTTGTCTGCAGATCAGATCATATTGTTTTCAGATGACTGCTTGCATAGCAGAGACATAGGGAAAAAAGAAGTAAAAAGCTACGTAATTTTTTAGCTAATAGTTCTAAAAGAATGCTACCAAACTGAAAACTGCAGGTAATATCAGTATCAAAATAGAGAGATGTTGGGTCACTTACAGAGCCTTTGGTCTGCTTCCTTTAAAGACGGTTGAGGGAAGGGTAGTTTCAGGTAGTGTTAATCACCTGTTAAATGAGTTGTTCTCAAAAAGCACTTCAGCTCAACATTGTGAGAAGTTGGCAAGGCTTAGTTCTCACGTAGCAGCGAAGCCATAAAAAATATGAGGAAGATATGGCAAGTTTTTAAGTATTTCTCATCTCACCTGAGATTACAGGTACAGGAGTTACATCCCAAAGCACTGTCAAGGAATGTTCTGAGGGCGTTGAAAGGTTAGTTTCCCCAGTGGCTACAACTGGTGGTGTAAAGGAAGGAGCACAGCTGCAAAGAGGAAATCAATAATGTTACTGTGCTTTGAAGACAGCATGATACAGTCCACTGGGAACGGCTGCATTCCCAAGGAGACCTACCTTCTTTTGGTTGCCATATTTAGCCCTTTCCTCAAAAGGAAAAAAGAAAAAAAAAAGCCATTTCCTAAAAATGCGTATTTTGGTTTTGTTTTGATCTTTTGTCTTAAGATTTCTAAACATTAAGTTTAGAACTTGAGCTGGCGCTTAGGGGGTTTTATACTTCAAACCTTCTATATAAGCAGGTTTTTAAGTTAAAGTGAATTTGATTGTTTTTCCTCTAACATGAAGACGAATCACGTCAAGATTGCGTATATACAGTAACTTTGTGCTGAGCTAGGATTCAGTGTTGGATGCTTTGTGATTGGGTGGGATTTGCACGTAGTACAAGCCGTGCCCCCAGTTTTAAGTAAAATTACTTTGTTGGGTGATTTGGACACAGTTTTCCCTTCTGCACGAGTGCTAATTAAAATATGTTCAATACTTTGTAGAGGATGGCAGGTAGATGCACCATATTAGGAACCCCATCTTGGGGTGCTGACAGTAGATCTCCTTAGAAACTGATCATCTTTGAAAGCTCTTACCTACTTTGTGTCAATTTTCTACTAGCAAGGGAAGAAATACTACTGCAGTTGCTAATGTGTGTCAAAACTTCATATGTTTTCAGGTGCTCTCATTATAGTTTGCTGTCATGTAATGACTAGGCACATGCCCAGATGGTACTTGTAATTTCCTTGCTCATATCAATGAGCTGTTATTCACATGAGTAATCTCACTGACTGTAAATGGAGTGCTTCTGTAGCTGACTGTTCTTCACAAAAAGCCTGGCAGTATGGTCTATAGCAAAGCACAGCTAAAAACCAACTTTATAATGCCAGTTGTAATTGTCTAATCATAGAATGGTTTGGGTTGGAAGGGCCCTTTAAGATCATCTAATTCCAACCCCAGCGACAGGCAGGGACGCCTCCCACTAGACCAGGTTGCTCACAGCCTCATCCAGCCTGGCCTTGAATGCTTCCAGGGAGGGGGCATCCACAACCTCACTGGGCAACCTGTTGCAATGTCTCCCCACCCTCACAGTAAAGAATTTCTTCCTAATATCTATTCTATATCTACCCTCTTCCAATTCAAAGCCGTTTCCCTTCATTCTGTGTCACTATCTGTCCCTCCCCAGGACTTTGATGTGAGCAGATTTAGGCGCACTGAATGCCATATGATAAAACCCACCAAAGGAATTTGCGTTAACCCGAAGTTATGCCATTGCCTTACAGCGTAATAACACCTCTATTAATTCACTTGCATTAAGGTGATACAAAGTAAAATTACATTTCTGTACAGTCTACTGTACATCAGCATCATATTTCCTTCAGTTGCTAATCAATGCCTTTCTTGTTCTAAGCAGGACTATAAAATGGATTTAGGACTCAAAGACTATGCCAACAGGACTCCTACCAAGAACGCTTCTGCTACTGCAAAGAATTTTTCTGCCTGGGAGGACTACAAGAGCAGTGTCGATGACATACAGTACTTTCTTATTGGGCTGTACACACTTATAAGTCTGGCTGGCTTTGTGGGAAACCTGCTTGTACTAACAGCTCTAACAAAACGCAAGCAGAAGACAATAATAAACATTCTCATCGGTAACCTGGCCTTTTCTGACATCTTAGTCGTGCTGTTTTGTTCTCCTTTCACGCTGACGTCTGTCCTGCTTGACCGGTGGATGTTTGGCACTGTTATGTGCCACATAATGCCCTTCCTGCAATGTACATCCGTTCTGGTTTCAACTTTAATGCTGATATCTATTGCTGCAGTCCGATACCGTATGATAAAATATCCCCTCTCCAGCAACTTAACGGCAAAGCACGGCTATTTCTTAATAGTTATCATTTGGGCCGTTGGCTGTGCCATTTGCTCCCCTCTTCCAGTTTTCCACAAAATTGTGGACCTCCACAAAAGCCTCAATTTAGAGGCACTGGAGAACAGGCTCTTGTGTATTGAGTCATGGCCTTCTGACTCATACAGAATTGCCTTTACCATATCCTTACTGCTCATGCAGTACGTACTGCCACTGGTATGCTTAACTGCTAGTCACACCAGTGTCTGCAGGAGTGTAGGTTCCCGGCTGTCCAGCAAAGAGGGCAAGTTCCAAGAAAAAGAGATGATAAACCTCACCCTTCACCCATCCAAGAGCACGGGCACTGAGGCACAGCCCTCCAGCCACACCAGCTGGAGCTGTGCCCTGGTCCGAAAGCACCACAGAAGGTACAGCAAAAAGACATCAACTGTGATGCCAGCTATTTTAAGGCAGCATCAGGATGCTGACTTCAAAGACCTCCCAGAAACCTCTGGCACAGAAAAAAGCCAGCTTTCTTCCGCTAGTAAATTCATCCCAGGGGTACCAGTCTGTTTTGAGATGAAACCAGAGGAAAATACAGAGATCCAGGACATGATTACGGTATCCCAATCCATCATCAGAATTAAAACAAGGTCCAGGCGAGTGTTTTGCAGACTGACAGTGCTAATCTTAGTTTTTGGTTTTAGTTGGATGCCTCTTCACCTCTTCCACATTGTGACGGATTTTAATGCCACTCTCATTTCTAACAGACATTTTAAATTAGTGTACTGCGTATGTCATCTACTTGGCATGATGTCCTGCTGCTTGAATCCCATCCTCTATGGGTTCCTTAACAACAGCATAAAAGCTGATCTAATGTCCCTTATTCCATGTTGCCAAATACTTTAATTTTATGAGCCTCAAGATAAAATAATTTGGCTTTCGTGCATACTAATGCATATAGATGTACGAACTGTATTAAGCTTAATTAGTCTGATTTGGTTGTGATTAGTGGCATCTCATGTGAGTGGGTAGTTCTAAGGTTGCACGTGCATTGGCCAGACTGTATGAGTGTATTATTATAATGTTCTTCTATCTGTTGCACATAGGAAATCATGCCCAGTGTACAAAACCAGAGTACAAATTCCATTACCTGAAATACTGCCAGTCTGTACTTTGGAAATATACAAAATATAAAATGAGTCATAAATGTGAGAATACCTAGACTTATCAGTATTAACAATCATACATCTAATTATAATAAAATACGTATCTTTTACTAAGTTACTTGTTGAGACTACTTCAGTGCCAACTTTGACTGTTTCCTAAATTAATAGAAAGTCTGTTTCTGGATGGGATTAGAAAAATATTTTTCCCTTGCTCTTTAACTCATCGTTTTCAATACATTTACACCACCTTTTGCTGCTTCTTCGCAGGTTGCCCTATTCCCTGAAATGAGTTTGGGGGCAGTTGTTATTGAGATTGTTTCTGTCTCATCCTGTTTACCCAATGCAACATCTCTGATTACCCTACCTTAGAGTTTTCACTCTGGCTTGTCATTTTATGGAATTTTCAGCCATACTTACATATAGCTATGCCTTTGTGTTTGCACTGATGGCTCCCATGAACGTGTAGCACATTTCTGATCAGCGCGAGACTTCATGATCTAAGAAACTGATAGTGGAAAGAAAAAGAAAATGGGAAGAGAGCAGGATTTTTTTTTCTTTTCTTTTGCCAGAAAGCAAAATCTTGATGCATTTCATCATAGATGACCCTTTTGCTTTAGGTCAACAGCTTTAAGGTACACCTGCCCAGGTGCACATACCTACACATGCTATCAGCCCCAACTTCATCATCTCCTTTTTAAGCAGACAGGTCTTTTTTCTCCCACACTTAAATCACATGCATCTTCCCTAGATCACAATACATTGCATAGCATAAATGGAAAAAAATTATCTATATATACACATATATTTCCCATGGGTTACTCTAATTTCATAACCCACCTCTGCCCTTAGGGTTCAATAAGTGTACAAAGCCTCAACTCTGAGTTTTCAGTCAAACTTCTCCAAGGGTCTAGCTGGTGATTCTTCCTTTTTCTCCATTTGAATTCCCAATCTGATAGTCTCTTTAATAAAGCACTTCCAGTCTGAAAAATGAAGTTATTGTTTTTGTAAATGAGTGGATGGGAAGGCTCGTGATTTTTTATTTTTGGTTGGTTTTTTTTTTTTTGCCTTGGGATACTTCTTTTCCGTATAGTCGTTAAAAATGGAAGCAGTCAGGCTTCCATGTGTTTGAAGGAACACTCAAATTATTCTAATGTTACAGTTTTGAGACCTTTGAGGCTCAGGCTGTCACCGGGTGAGGAGATTATTACATACTAGTCAGTAATATCATTGTTACTGTCATTAAGGTATTTCCCTGAAGTCTAGTTCCCTGTAACCCATCGTTCTTTGTTTTCACTAGTGGTACACTTAAATAGTTTCTGCCTGGACACTGACTATTGCATTTTGCAGATTATTATCTCCTAACAACCTACAGTACGTCATTTCATAGAGTACAAAGAGTGCAGGATATTCAAACAATACATTCCAAGTAGCTTTTAAAAAGTTTAAAATTGTTTAATTTGAAAATACTTACGGTTACTCTTGCTAGATAAGCTTAAGTAAAAAAAAAACCAACAAAACTAGATCCTCACTGAGAACACTAGGATGCAGTCTTATAAAAGTTACAGCAAATTATGCCCAACTTACATCCACACATTCTCTTGCCACTGTGATGTGTCATTTAACCTTACTTTACCATGTAGTGTAGCCAAATGGTGTAAGAGTTGCATCATTTCATCTTCTACTATTTATTCCAGGTTTCTTATAATGTATTTTTTATTTTTACTGTTACCTTCCTTCCTATTTGCAACTTGTAGTTAATTTCTTCATTTCTTTATATACTTTCAGAATTTCAACCATTTTTTTCCTGCTACATTTAGGACTGTTTCTATAATGTCAAGTTTTATTCAGCGATGACTCTTTTCAAATTAAACTCTACTCATTTTAACTGTGTGTGACACACAGAAATGTTTGCATAAGTCCTTTGGGAAAGTTTCAGAAGCTCACAAAGATTACTCTGTGCGCCAGTGATTTTATGAGAGCCCTGTCCATTTGCCTGCGTGGAGTTAATATCTGTGCCCCCACTATTTATACTGATCAAAACATGAAATTGTAATTTGGCAGTAGGAAATTAAATGAAGACAACTACTGACCTTCTTAATTCCTGTGACGTCTAAAAATTTGTTTACAATCAGTGGTGGGAGAATGTGTGCTTACCTTTTATTTGCAGAACAATCATACTCATTAGAGTTTGACGTCTCCAAAATGTCAGCATCTTTCCTCCGACATGTTGGATAAAAATAAAATGTTTTCCCTACCTTCCATCTTCTTTAAGCAGCCAGTACACCTCGGACTCAGTGTCAGCAAAGAATATGTAGGAAGAAGACAGTAGAAGGAACAAATTCAGTCAGGCGTTTCCCAAAAGAGGGAGAGAGGAAAAAATGAAGCATATTTAACACTTCTCCTGCCTGGGAAAAAAAAATCAAAGCACAAGGATCCTCCCTACCCCATGCTTGTTGAGTGGTCCTAATCCAGTTGGAGCTGAAGCAAGCGCTCCGAAGCGTTCCATGTACAAGTGACTGGCAGCATGATGCTCTCTCGTATGTGCACATCTATCGATCTTGGGAAGATGCATCTGACCACAGTGTCCAGCGGCATTTTCATGAGAATGGTATCATTTTTCTATGTAGGTAGGCAGGTACATACACAAATATGCTAGAAAACAAAGCACGTAAAGATCAATCTTCAAAGAGCACATTAAATCCCCAGTCCTTAGGCCAGTTAAACTGCTACTGAACAATTTCTACTGTAAGGAAAAGTCTAAATAATGAAGATGATAGAAGTTTTGTTTTGTTAGCATCTGCTGAATGGAATCAGACAATGCCAGATGCCAGTTCCACTGGAGTTCAAATAATAAGGGAACATAGGCATACGGGGTTCTTCCCTTCTAATAAAGGAAGGGAGGGAAGAATCCTCTCAGCTGATAATTATATATGATGTATGTTAAAACTCTTCTGGTTTGACTCACACGAGGAAAATACATGTTTGGTTTTTGTAGTTGTGTAAAATATTACCACAGACAAAGCTGACAGTTGGAAATGTCAAAGCATACCCCTTGCTAATGGCTGGCCCTTGTCCCTCTTCTTTCTGCAGTGAAGGACACAGGAGCCTGTTAGGATGTGCCACCTCAGATGGGTCACTCCCAGGCCAGCCAAGCCAGCGGATCCCAGCACACCAAGCACTCAGTGCAGGCTGACACTACAGTATATTTATACAGGGAGAGCCAAGGTGGTCCTCCAGAGCATTTCAACAGCAGTGGCTGAGATAGAGGTATATATCCCATACATCTGCATCAGCTGCAGTTCTATTGGGCAGTGCCTTGATCAGGCAGCAAGGAGCACCAGCTCTGGGCAGGGCAGTGACCACTGAGAAGCAGGCAGTGGAGAAGCAGCACTCCACTGAAGAAACAGAGAGGAAAACCATATTGCCACTGTATTCCCTGGTGGTTGCAGCCTTTGTAAGCATGTCACCCTGCTCCTGGAGCCTGGAAGCTCATAATGTGATGTTTCCTTTCTAGCAGCGTGAACTCCTGAGGGATGAAAAATAAATCACTAACCTGAAGGTGTGGGAGAACTAAGAAGAGGAGCACAGGAAGGAAAAAAAGTCTCCACTACCAGTCATGCTGAGACAGGCACTGGCTCTCCTTATGAGAAATAGTATGGGTGGCATGGAAACTTCCCTCTGTACTGATGCTTGTGATAATTAATGTTACCAAAATATTATTAATAGATCACACAGCCCTTCTGTAATCCCTGGGGTTCCATCATCTATCACTGCACTTTTGGAAGAAAAAAGTCATTTTTTCACAGCAGTTCCAGTATCTATCTTTGCAGCATAAAAAATAAACAGCCATAAACATCGTAGCCTGCAGAAAAGCATCCTTCATAAATACGGTTGGACCCTGGAACTTATCCTTTGAATTTGATGAAAACTAAACTATGCCTATGCGATTTATTATGAAAAGTCCTAGCAATAAAATATACTGATAGTTCTGGAAGTAAGAAAAAAAAACAAATAAGCCCAAGAACAGCCTTAATGCATTGTTCTGGTGCAAGACAAACCTCTTCTTTTTCTGCCCTCACGGGCTGAAGTAATTATATAAAATCATGATACTCATAGAAGTCATTTATCAAGGTTATTAGGTAAAGCTGGGGACAGTTTTTGAGCATGACATATTGTGTGCAATCTCTAAGATCAGATTTTTCTTTTACTTAATATCTTCTGTACGCTTTTGAATGAGAAACAAACGAACCTTACTTTCTAAGGCTTGCTGCATGTGCTACCTAATGGAGAATCCTGAAATTGATTGGTTTTGATGCTAGTGTAATTGGTTAAGCGTTGCCATTCCGATGAACGCAGACAGAGCTGCTGTTTTTGTTCATGTTCAATTAAAGTGACTTTTGATAGGAAGAGAAATGAAAGTCAGAAACAGAAAGGAAAAAAAAAAACAGAAGAAAACCCACCATATTCTGCCATACTGTGCCAGTGACAAAGGAATGCAGCCTAAACAGACCCTTCTGAAGTGTCTGCCCCTGACAACACCACTGAACACCGTTACTCCCACGTATGACCAGGAAGCTTATTGCAAGTTGTGAAATGTCAGGAAGTGAAAAAGGATAAAGGAATATGTGTACAGATGCCCGTACCACTCTCAAACTGTTTCTCTAAAGCAAGCATTATCTTTCCAACCATTCACAGTTTTGCCCTGTGATATGGCCATTAAGATGATCTCTGCCATACTGTGGTATGAAGTTATCTAAATTGGCAAGTTTACCACAGCACCTTAAAACTCTGCAATTTCAGAAAAAATAGTGACAGCTGCTATACTCCAAAGGTTACCATGACCTGCTGGTCTCCTCAACAAACTTTGCCTCGTTTTATAGTAAAAATACTGTATGTTCTTGGATGAAATACCCATTGATTTTGACACATACTTTGTCAAAAACATTATTTCCCCAGGAAGACTACTACTAGTGACAGGAAGATGTAGTCATATTCTTCTCCAAAAGCTGTGCATTAGTGTTACAACTAGCACTGCTGTTGTAAATACTGTGTAAGATACTTTAGTTCATCTTACTTGGTTTTGAAAAGAAATATTCAAAAATCTTTGAAATCTAGTGCTTTTTTTTTTTTTTTTTTCCATTACAAACTAGTATTAGGAAATACAAGGGAAGATAACACTGTCACAATTCAAATTTAGTTCTTTTCAATAAATACAAACGCTTCTTTGTGCCCTTGTCAAATTCTTATGATGATTCATTTAATAATAAGGCTTAAGAGCACTCCTCTGGGAAATTAGCAGAATAGCAATTTGACTTTCAAGACTGAAGTACACTGACTCTGCTCTTATGTCCAGTTAATCAAATGTTTGCTTTATATTAGCAGGAGAAGGATCACATCTATATTGCTCGAATGCCACAGTAGTCTGACAGTTTTAGCAGGAAACACTTATTCCTGTCCCTGTGAACAAAGCAGGGTATAAAAGCATTTTTGAGGCTACTTGTAGTACAAAATTTCTTCAGAGGAGTAACTTGGCACTGGTCAGTTTCACAAGCATTCATTTCTTCATACTTGGTAGGAACCAGAAAGACACAAACTCCAAAACAGATCATTAATAGTAATTTTAACTATAAAACTGCTCATGGGTTCTGTTTTGTGTTGGTTTTTTTTTAGGGAGGTGGAAGGGGTGGAAGCTCAGGTGGGGTATAACAATAAAAACAGCTAAGCAAGGAGATAACATCCCTGCAAGAAGTGCCCCTTCATAATTAATGTCCAGATTTACTTAGGTTGAGAGAGATGATAGTCTTACTCTTTTAACTGCTAGCCATTCTCTTGGCTTTACGAGGACCTCCACCAAATTAGGGTTCATTTAGTATTCACAAGGATATTGGCCTCTTGTCCTGGGGCTTAAAGATCCACACAAGAGATCTGCATGCAGTCTAGATCTTCACTTTCTGCTGATTTTTTTCTTTTTGTGGTGTTAGCACAACTGTGAGAAGTGCAAGCTGTTCACTGCAGGAAAATTAAATTCATTTTTATGTAACAACTGGGACTCGACACAGGCAAAACAATTAGCTTCTTTAAGGCTCTGTCAGTTCCAGAACGCATCCTACAAAGGTAATTGTTTGAAGCCTTGATGATACATTCCCTCAATTAATATCCTGGAGTATCCAAGCACATTTCAGATAACGTAGCCTCCTCTGGTCCTCACTGCGCATCATGATGAGTGAAGTTCAGGGTTTTACTCCCATGGCAGAACTGATTTGCAAATACGCTGTACTGGCAATCATTTCTCAAGGTCATTTGGTGAGTAAAGCTCATTCAGGGTACAGCTGATCTCTTACCTGCTCTGTAGGAGTCCACTCTTCAGAAAAACTGCTCCAAGGCCATTAACATCACGTTAGGTCCCGCTAGCTCTCTGGGCAATAACACATCCCCTCCTTGCACACTGTCATGCCTGCCATCAGCAGTGGTCCTCAAGTGCTGTTCCTTTCACAAAAGAGACGAGATGGCTGAAAAAGCAATGAAATTATTGACTCCCCAGTGCTTATTTTCCCTCTTCTGAAATAGCCTAAAACTGGAGACGTACCAGAAAGCCGTAGGAGACCTTTATAATGGACTTCTTGGAGCAGAAATGAGGAATCACATTTCAAAGATGAAATGAAGAAATCTGTCAGTGCAGGACAAGCTGATTAACTTAATGCATCCAGAGTTCTATGGCCTTAATAATAATAAGTCTAAAAAAAAAAAAAAGTAATGTAATGTTGGTTATCTGCTTTGCCAATTTTCTTCTAAAAACTCACATCCATTTCAACTCAATGATGGGGAAGTCTGCTGTATCCTTTGACCTGAGGACAATTTACTACATTAGAACACAGATTTGAGACCAAACTACTCTGGCTCTGCAGGTATTCCCTTTATTTCTTGTTAGCTCCTTCCATGACAAAGTAGGTCTGGGCCTGATAAAAGATTTTGTTGAATTACTACCTCAAAAATAATTAATGAGAGTAACACTACAAAGAAAAGGTAGCACATCTATCAAAATGAGAAGTTGAATAGATCAAGCTACCTCTAGCAAGCTATGGGAATGCTTGGGTGTATTTAATTGACACTTTTCCAAATATCTGAAAAGTAAAGGCTTATTTTCCACAGCCTGGCAGGTCCTAGTGCTGAAAGAGAACTTCTGATTTGCTCCTTTAATTTTAACAGTTTATAAAAGTTTATTATGGAAGTTTATGAATAAAATTATTATCAAAGTTCATTACAAATATGACTGTACTAAGAACTTTTTCACCAAGAGCACCACGAAAGAACAGAGAAGAAAAAGCTTATGTTTCAAGACCAGTATATATTAATAGTGGATTTCCTTCTGTTATTGACTTTATGCATTGTAATACGCTGATTTCTTCATTAAAGAACTTCACGCGAACAAACGCGAACAGTGAACTTCATGCAGAACAAAACCTGTAATTTACAGCAATAAACAATAACTGAAAGGCAGAGTTCATTTAATTACCATTAGAAACTCAAACAACCTCGCTAAAATGAATTCAGCATCCACTACACAATTTGTGCAACAGCATTCATATGAAAGTTCTACTGCATTTATTTCTAAGAAATAAGACGTGCAATCAGAATCATAGAATGGTTTGGATTGGAAGGGCCCTTCAAGATGACCTAGCCCCAACCCCCAGCTATAGGCAGGGACACCTCCCTCCAGACCAGGTTGCTCACAGCTCCATCCAGCCTGGCCTTGAATGCTTCCAGGGAGGGGGCATCCACAGCCTCACTTGTTTCAGTGTCTCCTCCCCCTCACATTAAATATTTTCTTCCTAATATCTAGTCTAAATCTACCCTTTTCCAGTTTAAAGCCATTTCCCCTCATCCTGTTGCTATGTGCCCTAATAAAAAGTCCCTCCCTATCTATCCTGTAGGCCCCCTTCAAGTACTAGAAGGAGTTGGCTGATTCTTTGTTTGTATCCCAGTATAAATTTATCTTCCTGATACAAGAGACAGCAATAAAAATACATAAGCAGTATACAAAAGATCCTGTTTCCTCTATTAACTATACATTTCTATTTTCCTGTATTTCCTTAACAATGACTAAATCACGTTAAGCACCCCAAAACAAATAAACTTCATAAGTCTCTGGAATTTCCTTGGCAAAAGCAAGCATTGTACTGTTGACCTGCCTGACTGCAAGTCACTCTGTCTACAAAGATGATTTCTGCCACACCGTTCAAATGCTGCTTGGCAATATTTGGCAGCCTTACAAAGGAAGAAACGGAGCCAAGTCGCAACAGCTACCTCAGCATCCTTCATTTTCACGTTTCAGTAAAATCCAGAGCGATTTTCCAAAGTTTGAAGTTACCGTAGCACAGCACATCAGAACATTACCTGATTTCGTGCAGATGCTGCAGGAAGGCTCCCCAGCCCTACCTCCCCCTCTCCAGGCACTGGCTGCACTGACAGCAGCAAGCTGTGGGGGACCTCTGCTGGATGCCTGCCGTAAAAAAGGACTGCGTTCGGACCTTTTAATGTTTTATATGTGTATGTGTGTGTATATGTATGTTTGTTAATACTTTTTCTAGTTAAAGAAAAAAAAACTTCAATTTTCCGCCTTACAAAAGGGAAAAAGAAAGTCGAGAAAACTTCTTGAGCAAATACAAGCTTCAGAATACAGCCATACCAGTGGAGATTTGGCAGGGTTGTGTCACTTTATAAGGGGTTATACAAGTTGGTTATTCTTAATCAGTTAAGGTTATGAAAAATATAATAGTGAAAGTGCCCATCCAGTCCTCTAAATGAATGGCATGCTTTCGTCTACAATTGCTTGTATCATTCTGCTCATCTTTATTTAAATAGAGCAGAACAGAAGGTGTTCAAAGAATCAGATGAACTCCAGCTGGTACATTCCTAGCAAAAAGACGTGTTGGTGAAATTCATAAGGAACTTTAACAAGAAGGTAATAGAAGCCCCTATTAATCCTTTGAATGACAATTAAGAAATGGGCTCTCATAAACCAAAATTGTACCACAGATTGTAGAAGGATATTATTAACACAGTACATAGCCAATCTGTAACTTTGTTGCCAAAGGTACTGCAGAAGTTTAAATCAAGTTTATATGATTAATGACAGCATATCGGGTACAAAACAACCTATCTACGTCTGCTGAGATAAAAACTAAGCACTGACAATATATCCTCAATAGGTAAACATCAGATATTTGAAGTCTGCTGTCCAGTAATTCTCTTCTAGGAAGAGTTAGGCACTGCTATCCTATATACTGTTATCCCATGTCCTAATACTAATTGTGGCCCAGCTGCCCAGCCTGCTATCTCATTCTTTCACCTCTGAGTCAGCTTGCAAATGGCAGTGCTGCCTCTCTCTTACACAGCTACTCATACTAACCTTCAGTATAATAATCTAATTTATCTTAGAGTTGTAGACTTCCAAATCCATAAAGGACTTTTGCCAAATTGTGAAGTTTCTTAAAACTTGCAGATGCGTTCATGAAAATTGCATCCCTAAGGGAAAAAATCTGCTCATAGCATTCACTGAAATGTTGCTTTTAAAGTATATGTTCTTGCCATGTTGTTAGGCAGCACTTCTAAAGTTCTGCTGTTGTAACAATAAATTGCATTAGCTAGTGATGACTGGGTTATTATTTGAACTGGCAGATGAACTGACTGAACAATTTTACAATGAAAGCAGCAAATGCCCATCAAGCATAAAACTGTTCTTCAGGACGTTAGACTTTTATAAAAGGAAACCAATTCTTCCGACTGAAATTGTGGCATTTAGGAGCAGAATTTCTCTGAAGAGTCTGAGAAGGAAATCACTAGCCTGACAAATAGTATTTTACACTCTGAAATTTAAACAGCAGGGGAAAGGAGCAAAACCAGTACATTACTGGGCAATTATAAAGCCTGCATAAAATTGTGTGAAACATAATGGAAGTGGAAATAATTTGACATTTTCTTTCTCTTTGCCCCATAACCTTTATGCTGATTTTCCTATCAGCAGGAACTACTGACAAGTTATCCTCATAGGACTCACAGACAAAACAAAAGCTGAAGAACTTCCTTCCTGTTCCTCCTCCCACACCAAAGGAACAAACAAACAAACATGAAACACTTGTCTTCCAAGTCAAGCAATAGCCTGGCCTTTAAAAAGGCTCTGCATCCATCTCCTGCAGTCAGGCTGCCTGCTGGGAGAGACGGCTCCACTCTGCTTCCTAAGAACTCCTCACGTCTGTCATCTAGGAAACATGAGTGTACATAAACTTCCTCCTGTAATAATCTGGCAATCGCTACGACCTGTGAGCAAAACACAGAGAAGGCCTCTCTGAATGGTTTTGATGGGGTGCTGTGACCCTCTGAAGAGAACTATTACAGAAAAACCACCAAATCCACAAGCCATTCTGTATGTGTGTGCTCAACAAGCACTAACAACCTCCACGCTCAATCATCTGCCTTCTGTATTGATTAGTTATGGGACAAACACAGTTACCATAATTATTTATGCCCTATTTACCATTGAGGGAGCCCAGAGCTCCTTCTAAGTAAGTTTTGTCTGCAAACTTAGAATGCAATCAGTTCCCACATCTAGATAATTTGTAAAAATACTGAAGAGAACTCGGCCCCTGAAGTGTATCTAAAAGTGCAGCGAGATGCCAGGAATACATTTTTAATTACATGTTAGCTTGAATGATCAAAAGGGAGAGCTTCTCTCCATGGACAAGATCTGCTCTGTGCAACATGCCAGAAAAATATCCATCCAGGTGTTCCCCTGCAAAGTGCCCAGCACCTGAATGGATATAAAAATGTATTCATCACCTCTATTCCTCTCCTTATTCTACCTCTTCCCAGCAGCTACCTTACGAAGCCATTTATTGCAGTTAGCCAGCAGAAAGAAGTCCAACAACTGCAACAAATTGCTGAGATGGACTGGAAAGCTGAAAAGGAAAGGAGATTAACTTCTAAATGCATGCAGCCAGGCGTAACACTGAAGCATAAGTAAGCAAAGGAATGTTCTTTTGAACTCACTCAAATTCTGCTCTGTTGTAATTTTTATTTGTTTGTTTATTTATTAAGAGCATTAGAGACAAGAATGGCAGGTTAATTTAGCTCTTAGATTCCATGTGGTGCCATGCAATAAAGTTGCATCTCCCTGTTCTGGCACTGTTTCTCTATAAACTAATTGAGACTACAGTACTGCACATGTCTTTTTGATATCCTTCCAATTTCCTCTGGGAAATTAAGGAAAAGTAAATTTAGAAGAAAATCAGAAAGAGACGAACTGCTACCTCTTCTTTTTGCAGCACCAAACTCACTGTCTGACTAATTTATCTGTTTTCCTTTTCTGCTTGTAAAAATGAAATTGTTTCCAGAAGGATCTAGAGGAGGAATATCTGCCTGTATAACAAAGGAAGACAAAGATAGACAAAGTGGCTGGCTTTACCTATCAGGAAAAAGATAAGTGAGAAAATCAAATTAATCGATGTGCATCTATATTTGCCCACCTAGTTCATTACAACACTGAGTAACTGATGTAAACTGACTAAGTTGTGTACTTGGACCAAAGTAGGCACAGAACTTAGTGTTGTGAAGCTTCTAGTTCTGGTTGATAACACAGAAATGAGAAATAAAATTAAAAAAAAAAAAACAATATTTGTACAGTTGATATGTTACATGACACATGTTAGGTGTGGGAGACACTCAGACAAACAAGTTCCTTTCAGGTAGATCACACAGTGAGTTCTTCTCTTTTTCTGGAGCTCTGAGTCTTATTCTGAATACAGCATTAACTGGCTTATGTGAATACTTACCCTAAGGATCCCATGTCTGATCTAATCTCAGGAAAACCAAAAAAAAAAAACCAAAAAAACCCCACCAAAAAACAACTGGTGTCCAACATCGTTAAGTACTTTAAGGTTTCTGAAGGACAAGAGAAGAGCTAAATGGTTACACAGCTCAACCACTGATCTGTGGCCACTCCAAAGCAGGTATGTGGTTTGCACACACAAGACAACACCATGCTGAATTTTAAGGCTGACAAACTCAAGCTTCAAGCGACATTGTGCTACAGCTTGAACTTGGGCAATTTTGATGCACAATAGTTCAACTTAGATTTTTATGGAAGTCAGGGTTACATTTGTTTGCAATGCTGGGAAAATATGCTACCATTTTATTATGTAATAAAGCTGATAAAAATGTAAGTAGAGTATGGAATTCTGTGGTTTTCAGCACTCTCTATGGATTAGGAACCACGTACACAATGTGTTTTCAGGTAAGTGTTTTCTGACACTAAATTACCAAGTTCAGTTTAGTTCACACACTTCTCTTCGAACATAAAACAAGCAAGGCATCGTGATGAGATTTCCCAATAGGATGAACTTAATACTCTCCATTTTCACCACACCTCTATTTCCATATATGTTACTACATCACAGCAGTTCATTACCCACGGTACAGAACTCCATAATCTAAACACCAAGAAGTTGACATATTTGAGAAGGTCTTTAGTGATAGAAGTATAGAAGAGAGCGAGATGCTTGTATGGAGAAGTATATTAATTTGGCCCAAGATTCAGTTATGTAGCATCCAGCTGTATCTCACCTGGATATACTAACTGCCACAATGCAGCAATCGTTAGCAACATTTTGCACGGCCCCAAAAGGCACCATTCATACCTGTGAATTTACTTTTACAGCTGAATAAAAAAAAAAAAAACAAACCATGCCAATTCTTTTTCCTTCAAGTTTCTAGACATGTACAAACCTACTGTGCTGTTTCAGTTAATGTCACTGTGGTTTTAGTTGTTTCTTCTCCTTGGTTTTAATTATCTTTCCCACTCCTACTATCCAGGAACAAAAGACAAGGTAAAAGAAAAAGGAAAATGAAATTGTAATTGTATTCCCACAGGAAACACGGTTGCTAGTAGCTGCAATTGGTTTCTTACGATTCCCAAGCCATTTTGAACTACTAGAAAACGCAAACATTATTTGGTTATTTCTGCACAGTTCCAGGTAGTGATGCTTAATTTTAAAAATAATGAGGCTTTTCCCTTTCCCTCAAGACAAAGCACTAGAATTATGTTTGCTATGCATGTCATATTACAAGTAATAAAAACCTGAATCCTCAATAGTTATAACTTGGCATACCGTATTCCCTACAGAAAGAAAAGCACTGCTAAATCATATTAAAGTTTCACATCAGTGCCAGTTTATAAAAGCTCAGCATATGGCTGCTAAGCTTTAAGGAAGAGAGGCTCTGTTGCAGTGTTTTACCTTTTTGTCACTGAAAGTCAAACCGAGAACTTTCAGGTTCCTCATGTATTCATGCAGAAGATAACTGGTGTGAAGGTTTTTGCCTAAGCTTGCAACTTCATGGGCCATTTAGACAGAAAACACACATTCTGCAACTTCAGCACGGAGGGAAGTGGCTGCTAGAAGCAAGACTACTCACAGATACTCTGGGGAAG